TGGCGAGCGCACCAAGTACGCCATTGGCCTGATACGGGGCAGCAATCTATTCGCGGCGGTGCTCAATTCTAGCTGCGATGGCGGCGCCTTTTGTCCCTGCAGCACCATCGATCGCGTTTGCCTCAACTGCAAGCGTATGGATCAAACGGACTGTGAGTGTCCCTGCGAGTGTCCCATGCTGTCTGGCTCTGGTGCCAGCGACCCGCACGATTATGCCAACTATACTCGGCAATTTCCCTATTGTTCACCGCCCAGCGAGCATTTTCTTGCACTGCCGCCTACGACACAACTATTAACCGTGCTGCCAAGCTGTGCCGCTGCTGCTGCTGCTGCTGCTGTTGGAGGTGGCGGCTGCGAGGCGTATGTCACTCAGCGGGAATGCCTCGGCGTGATGGGCTGCGAGTGGTGCCAGCAGGATGTGGAGGGAAACGGCTTCGGTTCGGCCTTCTGTTCGACACAAGCGGGTTGCTTTAATGGCGTGCTAGCCTCACTGACGCCGTATGGTGAACTGGATGAATTGGAGATGCTAGCCGCGCACAATCCACAACGGGAGCAGCATGCGTATTCCGCGTTTGGACCACTTGGTGGCGCCATTGTTGTGCTTGCCATCGTAATTGGCTTTGCCATTTATTGCTACCGGCACAATCTTGACACACAGGCACAGGAGCAGTTCTACGTGGATTCGGTGCAGGAGGAGAATTACGGTCTGCCGTTGTCGCGTTTCAATTTCGATGATTGCCAGGCGCACGATGAGCCGCCCATGGGTGGATATGATCATGCTGCTGCCCAGCGTCAGCTGATGCATGCCGCTGACATTTCGCCATATCATATGTCGAGCGGCAGCAGCTACTATCGCCGGCCGCCGAATGGTGAGTCGGATCACGGCTATAGCACCATGACACCACACGAGGATAGCTCCGATCAGCAGTGCTTTACGTTGGCGGAGCCACTGCTGCTGCACGACAAGCGGCACAGCAAATCGGACACCATGTCCATATCAACATCCATATCGAGTCCAACCAACCGTCAACAGTCCACAACGCATCCATATTTAAGCAATCAGCCGGCTTCCAAAACGGAGCGCTATAAACAGCAGCAGCAGCAGCAGCAGTCGCAAGCGACGCCATCGCCATGTCGCGGTGCAGCTGCTGTCTATGGGCAGACGACACTCCCGCTGGATGCGGAGGAGCCACGTTCCCACTACATACTGGCGCCGGTGACAGTGCATCGGCATATGGAAACCGCCGAGTCATAGTCCCAGCTAATTTGTTAGGTTGCAATACTTTAAGATGTCCGCTTGTTTGCCAATTTGGTTATTTTGTAGTAAGGTCTGGGGGAAGTTCAACTGCCCCAATGCAGCGCGGTTCGAGCAGCGCTGCTACAGTTTTAGCAGCGCTGTATATGTCGAGCCTCATTCAACACACACTCACACATACAAAATGCCAGCCAATATAATATTTAAGTCGTTTATGTCGTTAATAACTTTGCCATTTTTGTCCATATACACACGAGTTCGTGTACTGTAAGTTATTGCAAAAAGTATTATTATGCAGCTACTTCCAATATTTTTAGCATTTATTGTTAAGCACTAAATCAACTAATTGTACTTATTGTCACGTGTGACAAACGACGACTCGAAGCAAGAGTATGCATTTTTGTAATAGTTTTTAAGTCCATAAAGTTACTAACTATCGATTTTAGTAAATAAACACACAGATTGTATGTTTCCAATAAAATGTTTAAATTTTACAGAACAAAAATGTAAAAAAAAAATAACACTCAGCCTTGATTTAGAGCGAATTGTTCGCACAGCTGTCGGCGCGTTAATGAATTTATTTTTACATTGAACAAAAAAAGAATAGAATTCAGATTTTTCAATAGACATTGGCCAAAATGCTGTGTGTTTATAAATAACGAAATCTGTTGGAGTTGCCAGAGAAATTCGACGAGAATTTTACTAAACCATATTTTATGATTGGTCGAATAATATCATGAAATTATATCAAGATGGTTGTATAATTCAATTAATAAGTTTTTTATATTCATAAAACTTATATTCACTACAGGAATCTTGCTACTGTTCTGTTTAATTGCCAACCGTTTTTATAACCGGTTATAACCGATACATTTGCGATAAACTCGACAACCCTATCGCACAATTTTGTGCTCAATCTTTCGTTTTGCGGTTGAAACTGTTGCATTTGGTTTTCTGGTTTGGCGCACGACGAACGTTGTTTTTTGGGTTTTATTTCCAAACCCAACAACGAAAACTTGCTACTTCAGCTAGACTTCAGGTTCATCCGTTCTGCATACACCCCGCACTTTCTTCCGCGCACTTTGAAGTGAGTCTTTTTGGATTGAGTATACAAAAGATCTATTTCAATATTTTCCTTGGACTGTTCACACAAAACCATTACGTAATTCACAATAAGAGTACAAACGGGGGGAAGAAAAACGAAAGTTATGTAAAAAACTGTGGCATGTGCTCAATTTGCTACAAGATCAATGACAGTTGCGGAAATAAGTGATCGATATTAATTTGAAAAAAAAAATAGTTAAAGTATATTTCAAAAATATTATGTGGCTGTTAAATTTTTCGAAAGCGTGAAGCGTTGTTAGAGGCAACAATATTTGCCTAAATGTGTCGATTCGGTTACATCATGACCCGCTAACCTCAACCTTGTCGTCGTCGTCTATTCCACAGCATCTTCGCTAGCCAACATGTTCAAATCTTTGCTCGAGGCCGCTCAGAACTCAACGTTCAAGTCGCCGTTCACCAGTGCTAACTGCCAGGCTGCCACGCCCTCACCTTCAGCCTACTCCTCGGCCAGCGATGGAGCCGCCCGTCAGCTGAGCCCCAATCACAATTTCGCCGCCGCAGCTGCCGCCCAGGGAGGTGAGTGCGAGTTGAAGAATTTTCCGATGTTGAATTGGATTGATGATAAATGTGCATGTCTATATTCTTTCAGATTCTTGTGAGTTTGGCTCCAATCATTACTTCTTGCTGTGTGGTCTGGGTGGTATTATCTCGTGCGGTACTACCCACACCATGGTGGTGCCTCTGGATTTGGTTAAGTGCCGTCTCCAGGTGGATCCGGCCAAGTACAAGACTGTCGTTAACGGCTTCCGTGTCAGCTTGGCTGAGGAGGGCGTCAGGGGTCTGGCTAAGGGCTGGGCGCCAACTTTCATTGGCTACTCCATGCAGGGTCTGTGCAAATTCGGTCTATATGAGGTCTTCAAAGTTATATACTCCAATGCTATTGGCGAGGAGAACGCCTTCCTTTATAGAACTGGCCTCTATCTGGCCGCTTCTGCCTCGGCTGAGTTCTTTGCGGACATTGCGCTGGCGCCCATGGAAGCTGCTAAGGTTAAAATTCAGACAACGCCCGGATTTGCTAAGACGCTGCGCGAGGCGCTGCCTAAGATGACCGCACAGGAGGGTATTTCGGCCTTCTACAAGGGTCTGGTGCCACTCTGGATGCGACAGATTCCATACACCATGATGAAGTTCGCCTGCTTTGAGCGCACGCTGGAGCTGCTCTACAAGTATGTGGTGCCCAAGCCACGTGCGGATTGCACTAAGGGCGAGCAGCTGATTGTCACCTTTGCCGCTGGTTACATTGCTGGTGTCTTCTGTGCCATTGTCTCCCATCCCGCTGACACAGTTGTGTCCAAGCTGAACCAGGCCAAGGGCGCCAGCGCTCTTGATATTGCCAAACAACTTGGCTGGGTTGGTAAGTGGCCCATCAATCTGTTTGCTAATGCTGCTTAATAATTCTTTCAATCTCTTGACATTGTTCTACAGGACTGTGGGGCGGTCTGATGCCTAGGATTGTCATGATTGGCACACTCACTGCCGCTCAGTGGTTCATTTATGATGCAGTCAAGGTCTTCCTGCGCATGCCACGCCCACCACCACCAGAGATGCCCGAGTCGCTGAAGAAGAAGCTGGGCGTGACTGGGGAGCAGTAAGGGGCATACATAGAAGTTAACCGGTTTAAATATACATATATAGAGTGCAAACAGATATTGAACGATTAAATGCAAATTGTGTAGAAAACAAGATAAATAAAAACATACCAAACACCTAAAACTTGTGAGATGTGATCTCTTTAATTGTTACACCTGGAGTAAAAAACGAATGCTTCAAATGAGAAATTTTCTAGACAATTTCTCACGATGGAACTTTCGGTGGGCAGTCAAGAAAATCTCTTCTACGGAATCAAAATTATTTTAGCAAACTAAGTTTGAAAGCCGAATCGATATTTTGAAGAAAGTCCTTAAAAATATCCCACATAGACTTTATTACAATTTTCCCGCGCAATGCATTCAAAAATTCTTTGTTTATGCATTGCTTCTCGCCCAGGGCTGCACAAAATTGATGCTGACTGGTCACCCTGGCAGTCAGCTGTAAATGCCGCGCGTTTAAATTACTGGCTGACTGCTTTTGGCTGTAAACATTTCGAGCAGCGAATTCTAAACTATTTTGTCATCATAAACAATAACCCAAACTAGGTGCCAAAAAGCCAGCAGAATCACATTTTTATTAAAAAATTAAAACCATCGACAATTTGATGTAGGTTTGCAGCCCTGCTTCATATGAGCAGGCTTTCAGATAATCATTAATCAAAGGCTAGCACAAATTATTAATGATTTTGTTAAGTTCATTTAATGCAAAACAAGCGCATCGAAGAATCACAATTCTTTTGTCGCCACCTGCTGTGAGATATATTTTATAAGACCCTGATCAGACACGTGGAGTACTTTGCTACTTAACCTCCCAAAATTGTTCTTCCGTTAAAGAATCTATTCATTTGCTCTCATATAATATGATAAATTAAAAGGAAGCAGTTATATATATTCTACTTAGCTTGATGTGTAGCTTTGAACTTGACTATTTTGGACAACTTTGTGTAACCCTTGGACATTTACAGTTAGACAACTGACGTAACAAACTGTATTGAAAATATTTGAATCTTTGCCAATAATGTGCTCATCCGATTTCAAGGTCACCAAGCATGCGAATCGTCGTGCTTCATTTTGGATGGATTACGTGACTATTGGAACCGAGATGCAACAGATGTGGCCTATGTGTGTCAAACGAGGGAGGGAGTTACGTGCACGGCATGCCAAATATTTGCTGCATATGTTTAATAATTTGATATAAAAATGCGTGTGCCCGAAGACTTGTATTGCAGTTTGAAACGCAGCTCTGATCAAAATGCTGCTAAAGGTGGGTTGCAATTCAAGACAGTCTCCAGAGAGAGAGAGAGAGAGAGAGAGAGAGAGAGAGAGAGAGCTCACACTTTTTATCATTTAAGGTAATACTTCTTGTCACCACAATTGCTGGCATCCATGCCGAGTCACCTGTGCGAGCTCCATATGCTCCGGCAGGCTGGCGTCCACGTGTGCCATTTAATTTGCCCAGCCAGAATGTGGCTCCAGTGGGATCCAGCTTTGAGATCAGCAGAGAACGCGTTGAGCATGCTGGCACCTTTAATGCACCTCAGGCAAATTCCAATTACTTGCCACCAAATGCCGAAGTACCCAACCAGCAGCAACAGCCAGTGCTCAGTGGCAACCAAGGAGATATATTGGATGGGGAGCGACAGGCAAATCGGCAACCAAGTCCGGCCGCCCAATACGGCGCCCCAGTTGATGGTGGCTTTAGAATAGACTATCCGGATGAGGAAAATCCCGCTCCGTCTACGGATTTGCAGTCAAGAATCGAGGAGGGCCGATACTATATAGTTTCCTCCGATAACAAGCTACAACGTGTTCTATATCGGACTGTGAAGAATGCAGAAGATGCTGCTGGCGACGGCTTCACGGCCCAGCTGAGATACTCCTCCGTGGGTGAGTTGCAGGATCCGATTTATAAATATAATAGTCAGGGACAATTGGAGCGGGTGCTGAAGTAAATATTTTCAGTTTTCGGCTTTCACTTGTCGTCAAATATAATTGCAGTTAAAAAACTTGATACTCTTTTTTTTTCTTTACTTTGTTTTATACAAAAATGCTTCTTTATTCATTATCATTATCATTATACACAAAAAATCTCATATGTCTTCGTACACGTTTTTCCATTTAAAGAGTGTGCTCCAATGCATTTTTCATCAGAATTCATTAAAATTAAATACAATGCTTATGTATATGTATATGTATGTATGTATGCGTGTGATGGTCACAATATGTATGCATCTAATGTGGTGTGTGTGTGTTTGTGTGTGTGTCCGTAACTGTGTGGAACAGCACAAAATGAAGGCGCTTAACAAAACAAACGGCAAAATACAGGGAACATGAGGCATAGGCATAGGCATAATGGAACAGTGGAACAGTGGAAAATGGAACGCGCCTGGCTATGGCAAAATGGCGGCGTTCCACTAGAATGGGACAGCGGGAGGGTGACAGTAGAGATGCGCATGACAAGCCATTGCATGTCAAACTGTGTTCGCTGCGCCGGCAGCAGATGCGTTTAATACTCAGCTCGGTTAGCGAAAAAAAAATTAAAACAACAACGATATAGACAAGTATAGTTACAGGGTCGAAACACTAGAAGGTAACGCCTTTGGCACTCGCCTTACTGATAGCCATTGAATTTGCCCTGCTGCGCATTGCTGTCGTAGCCGCCGCCGCCGCCGCCGCCGCCGCCGCCGTTGCGTCCATTGCCATTGCCGTTGCCGTTGCCCACCTGCTCGTAGCGGATGGTTGGGCGGTAACCATTTTGATCAGCCTCATATTCAACGATCTGCTTGCGTCCGTCGGGCAGCAGGACGTAGTAGCGGCCGACGGCCAGGTCGCCGTCGCGCGATTCCATATGGCCAAAGTCGTTGCCGGACTCGTAATCCTGCACGTCGTATTTGAACTCATATTTCGCCGGGCCGTACTGCTCCTCATCGCGCTGACCATAGCCGTTGCCGCCGTTGCCGCCGCTGCCATAGCCGCCGGCACCGCCGCCGCCATTCTGTCCCTTAAAGATCGCTCCGGTCAAGGCAGGTGCGCCGTACTGGCTCTGGGGCAGAGGCGCGCCATAGCTGTTGCTGGGCGCCGCGCCACCAGCATTGCCGCCACGCTGGGGCGGCAAGTAGTTGTTGGCGGGCGACTGATAGCTCTGTGTGGGCGGCAGATAGTTGTTAGACGGCGCCTGGGGCGACTGATTGGGCGGCAGATACTGGTTCTGGGGCACCGGTGGCTCCGCTTGCGTCCAGGCGGCCAGGCAGACGAGCAGCGCGATCGTTGTAAAGCACTGTAAATGGAAATGGAAATAATGGGGATTTGGTCAACGGATCAATTGAGTTGGAGGTAGGAGGCAGAGCAAGCTTGGAGCTTGCAGTCAACCAAATTAAGTTGTTTATTATATTATCAGTTATTTGTTAGTATTTGGAAAGCGTTTTATTTGGTAACCATGACCGATTCGGATGAGGGCGCCTGGATAGCCTGGTTCTGCAAGCAGCGCGGCAACGAGTTCTTCTGTGCGATAGACGAGGACTACATCCACGACAAGTTCAATCTCAACTTTCTCGACTCGAATGTGAGCAACTATCGGCGCGCCTTGGAAGTTATTTTGGATCTGGACACTGGCTCTGGCTCGGATGCGCCAACCGAGGCTGATCTGGAGCAGTCCGCCGAGAAGCTATACGGCCTAATCCACGCACGATTCATATTGACGAATCGCGGCATTGAGCTAATGTTAGAAAAGTATCAGAAAAGCGCCTTTGGCATATGTCCTCGTGTTTTTTGTCAGCGCCAGCCAGTGCTGCCCATCGGCCTGAGCGATAATCCTGGTGAAGATATGGTGCGCATATTTTGCCCCAAGTGCAACGATGTCTATGTACCCAAGTCGGCGCGGCATGCGGCCATCGATGGCGCCTTTTTTGGCACCGGCTTCCCCCACATGCTCTTCATGGTTAAGCCCGAAGTGCGCCCCAAACGGACCAAGCAGAGGTTTGTGCCAAGGTTTGTCTTTAAACACAATTAGCGTTGGCCGTTGAACTTATCACTCCTTCCTAGACTATATGGGTTCAAGATTCATCAGATGGCGTATCGAGCAGCCGATCCCAGCATCAAGATGCCACAAGGTGAACTCGACAGCAACTAAATGTTCCGTCCTACAAGCCACATTTTGGATCCCATGAACAAATTATATATATATATACCATATATACCTGAACTACAGTTTATTGTCTTCTGTTTCCATTTGTTTTTCTCGCCCTTTTCTTAGATTCTCATTAAAATATCATAATCGTAATTAGCTATGCACTACTCCATTTACCGTCCCCACCGAGCAATTGCGCTCATGCACATTGTTTATAATAATAATTATGCTTTGTTTTGGCGTTTAGGCGTGTAATATGCAAATTTGTGGAAATTGGGTCGCCGATGGATGACACTGGCTGATCAGCTAAATGCCGCAGTGAAGGGCCCGCTCTCAGGTGACTTGGCATGTTAAGTATACGACCAGCCAGAGTGCTATAGCAGGCAGCTTAATGTCGCATGCGACAAACTAAAGACTTAGGCAACAAACGTGCGTTTGGCTTAAGGGAACTTGAAGATTTGCTTTTCCGACTGATTGGCGATTGGCGCTCGTCTTCTTTTGCGCACAAATTGTGAAGGGCCCGCTCTCGGGTGACTTGGCATGTTAGGTATACGACCAGTTAACGGTGCCAGCCAGAGTGCTATAGCAGGCAGCTTAATGTCGCATGCGACAAACCAAAGACTTAGGCAACAAACTTGCGTTTGGCTTAAAGGAACTGGAAGATTGCTTTTCCGATTGCTTGGCGCTTGGCTTCTTTTGCGCACAAATTGTTGTGCAACATTTTTCTTATCCAAATTACTTTTAGTGCGAGCGCAAGACCTTCACTGACTTTCATGCCTCATTGGCTTTTCAAATACTAGCAGCAGAAAAACATCTTATATTGTGTTGCTTTTGCCAGTCGCTGTTTTTGTTTTTTTTAATCGTCCCTTGCTCATCTCTGCTGCACTCCAAATTTGGGCATGGACTCAGTACAAGTCTCTTAATTTATGCATTGCAACATGAAACAACAACTGCGTTGCCTCCAACAGCTATTAATACATTTTCTATATACCTTAAGTGGCTGTTAAACTGTTTTACTAATTTATTTATAAGCGAAGCGCCAATTAACGAATACGTTTTAAACAGAAGCCGCCTCAAGTTCGTGTCGAATTTCGTTTGCTGCAGAGCTATATTCAAATGTGCTAAATTTATGCGAACTGCCAGTTAAATTATTAATTGATTAATTGTCTTTTTGAACTTGACTGCTTGACTCCTTTTTTTGTAGGTTGCCTTTTAAAATTCCTAAATAAATTGAACTGTTGTATTTTAGGTAAGAAACTCAAAGTTTAACAGAGCACAATGTAAGAATTGAACTAAAAGCCCGAAATTATTTATAAAATATCTTGAATTGGAACTTCAACTTAAGCCTTTTGTTGTTAAGCAGCAATAAGTAACATTCATTTTTGACAAATTCTAATATTTGTGCTCTACATTCCTCGATTTGGCCAAGTGCCGCACTCGTTGCTCGTTGCGGTCCTTTTGGCAGGACGATTCACACCACTTTGCACTGACAGTCCATATGCTTGGCATATTGGAAATTAATGTGAACGCGTTTTATTGCATTTGCATTTGTTCTATACCTTCATTTTGTGTAGTCACTTGCTTGGTTTTGGTACAAAACACACACGAAACTTTTTACTGAAAACTCGGCACTGGCAGCTGAGATTTAACTGGGATTGATGTTTGGTGTTCTTCTTGCGAAGATGGTTGACTTGATTGTGATACTGAAACAATTTCGTAGGCCAGTATTTATATTTGAAATGTGCTGCATTCGCTGCCGCTGTCGCAGTCGCAGTCGCAGTCGACGTCGCTAGCAGAAGCAACAAAAAATAGCGCGCCAAATTTTCGTATCTTTTTTTTTCTCATTTCAATTTTTTGTTTAGAGCTTCGAAGAGCGCAAAGTAAGTAGCAATGCAAAGCAACACACAAAAAACATTACAAAATAATGCAAAGCAACATCAGCAGCAACAACAACAATAGCTACAGCATCGAGTGCTCTCGGCTCTGCCTCGTGAGCAGATCGCGGAGCAAAGCGGACGCTTTAGTGTTATAGTAAACTAGTTAGTTTTAAATTGAAGCGCCAAACACACATTTGACGACTTGGCTGCGAAGATGAGCGCCGCACATTCAACTAAATGAGCAGCGCGGGAGTAATACGCTCCTGGGATGCATGCATGCCCAGATCCAAACCCAAACCCATAAACATTTGTGTTGTTGTTGTTGTTGTCATGTAATGGCAAAAACACTTATTTGTAATGGGATTAGTCATGCAGCTGCTCATCGGAGCGAGGGCCGCAGGTGAGCGGAACTGGAGCTGCCACCGGTTGCCTCTGCTCCACGCATCTTCTGTGCTTCGGCTCTGGCCGAGTCAGTCGTGTGGCAGTCACCACCACAGCAGCAGCAGCAGCAGCAGCCGCTGTGGCCGCAGCCGCAGTAGCGCGGCTGAAACGAAAGACTTAAGGCGCGAACTTGCGCTTTACGTTTTACAAATGTGTTGCTAAAGACAAAAACAAAAAAAAGGCTTAAAAAAACAAAATTTTTTCTGTATCTTTTTTTTCGGCTCTGCAATTTGACAAGAAATTAACTTATTTTAGTTCAGCTTTATGTGTGGGCGTGGGAACTGTTTGCGTTTTGGCTTGGGGCTGTAATCTAGTTGAAAATTTTAATGAGCAGCACTCTGCTAGGCTGGGAGAGATATGCAAAAATGATCAGGTGTTGAAATGGGATTAGGTTTGTAATGTGAATGTGTGAATGTGCTGTTAGAATGTTGCAAAAACTTGAGTTAACAAGCATGTTGATCAAGATGGTAATAAACATGTTTATGGCTGCATTTTGATGGGAATCATA